GTAGGTTTTTGGTCACCCATGGTTCTGTTTAATGATCTATAATTTAAGAGAAGAAAATTTTTCGGTCGCTACCCGGATTCGAACCTGGGACCTTTGAATGATAGGCCAACACCTTAACCTCTAGACCACGAGAGCCCCATAAATCCTTACCTAAGGAAATCAGCACAATTGTCAGTAGAAGCATCATGATGTCAGTTGAAGGCGAGAGACGACAGGACCGAAGTTCCAACCCCTCTCTCTCTTTCTCTCAGTGACTCACAGACGAATGTCACCAGCTTTCATAGCTTTTATAGCTTTTATGTTTATGAACTATGGAATGCAACCTACATCCACACTAACCATTATCTGATAACGATAAGAAATAAGAATGTGCTCTGAATTTGCACCCTCTCGGCTTTCTTGCAAGGGGGTCAAGGAAGTGTGTATGTGGAAAGGGGGGAGGGGGGAGATGAGGAGATCGTTATTATGTGAGGCAGCGTGGTGGAATCAGGCTCTCGTCAATTTTTGGGCTTGTAGAGTTATTGGTGTCATCATAAAGCTTGTTCACTTGTCGAGATACTTGCAAAAGAAGGGGGTGGAGGTCACCTGTTTTCTGAGGTAAAATTATTGAGAAAACGGCCACAAAGATTAATTATTTCCTTAGCTTAAGAGTCAGTAGTAACTGAAAATTTACATTTTTTTGTGCCTTTAATCAACGTTTTTCAGAAAAATCCACACAGAAATTAGTTCTTTAATTGGCATGAAAGGTGTTGAGTCAAAAAACAAAAATGTGATAAAAATTCACAAACCTGCGGAAAAATGCAAGTTTCTTCACTTTGACTATTTTTTACAAGAGCCTGATTCCACCATGCTGCCTCACATATTCTTTATCTAAAGAAAACATCTTGATGTAATTTTCACAGCTTGCTTTGCTTGCAAATCTTCTTTTTTTTTTTTTTATCACGCTACCTGTTAATAATCACACTAGATCTGTGCCTTGTTTGCATGATTATTTCCAGCAAAAAGAAAAATATTGAAAGAAGAATAAACGTTCTTTGTCCTACATAAGCATAACACTGTGTTTTTTCACATGATCTGAGGATCCCAACCCTTCATTGCACTCATTTACGACAATCAACCCCCCTCCCCCCCCCCCCTTTTTTTTTGCCCACTAAAAAGAATAAGAAAAAAAAGAAAGATTGATGACAATAATGGACACAAGAGCAGTATGTCATCAGTGCGAAGCTGAGTTAGACTTCAGTCGCACTGGGCTATTCCAAGCTGCGAAGCCAGAATGGAAGAAAACAGATCTCTTGTGAATTATTTTTTTAAGGGGGGTGGGGGTGGGGCTGTTACATTGTCTTATCTCTTGAGAGGTCGATGTTGTTGTTTCTTAATTTCGTTTCACACCAAAAGAAACCGCTTTATTCCACTATATTATTATTATGTATTTTATTTTGACT